ACATTGACTGGACCCTTCCTTCCTTCCTTCCTTCCTTCCTTCCTTCCTTCCTTCCTTCCTTCCTCTCTCTCTCTCTTTCACTCTTTCTTTTCCTTCCTTCCTTCCTTCCTTCCTTCCTTCCTCCCTCTTTTCTTTCTTTCTTTCTTTCTTTCTTCTTCTTGATCCAGATGACCTAATAATTAAAACTTTTGTCCTCTGCAAAGATAACTTGTGCATGCACTGTGGTGTAGAACTGTTCTGTCAGATAATTATGATTCAGGCTTTGGATCACTGATGTTGTAGAGTAGAGGCAACATTAAGTGCAGATTTGTTAATATTGAATTCCTGTATAGTTATTGAAAACTAGTTGAGAAGTTTGACCTATATTCCTTAGAATAATAAAGAATGTGTTTATCATATTTTCTCATGGTGGATAGATTCATCTATCAATAGCTATGGACTGTGATAGCCGCAGACCTAACTTTCACGTTCAGGGAATGTGTATGTCTCCTATGTTTTGCCAAGCGTAAGGGGTAAATTAAGGTTGACTACCGATATAATTCCTTGCTTGTAACTTTCCCGGGGACCTATGGCTGACCATTTCTGAAGACACAGTCCTGGTAGACCTTTTGCCTGATCCAAATGAGGCATGCTTTTCTCCTCCTTTTGCTGTATATGATTAAAATTATGTGGTGGTGGAAAATGCTATCAAGTCACAGCTGACTTATGGTGACCCTGTAGGGTTTACAAGGCAAGAGAAGAAGTTTGCCATCGCCTACCTCTGTGTAGCAACCCTGGACTTCTTTGGTAGCCTCTCATCCAAATACTAACCAGGGCCAACCCTGCTTAGTTTCCAAGATACAATGAGATTGGGGTATCCTGGGCCATCCAGGTCAGGGCTGATAAAGTTGCCTGTGGAGGACCATAAACCATTTTTATTAACACTTTTAAAATCCCATTGTTGAGACATGATATGACTATAAAACTAATGTGTGTCTCCTGTAATCTCTGTCTCCTGAATGGCTCCCTTGTTAGACAAAAACATTCCTTCTCATGGTACTTTCCCCTTCAGGGGCAGTCTATTGTGTGTGTGTTTTCTCCCCCCCGCCAGCAGTTTAGTGCCAACAAACTATCCAAATGGATTTACTTCAGACTGGAAACAAGGTGTACAAGTTTTCTTTTTTATTATTTTGCAGGAGATCATTACCTAGTGCCTTTTAAAAAGCTGCTGCTTTTGTTTTGTCTAGACAGAGCAAGAGAGCTGCAGGGAATTTTTCTGATCTGAATCCCAAAACACATTTTATAGGGTATTATTAAAATACATGCACGCAAACCTGCTGCAGCTAGACACACCTTTATATTCTGCTCTGTTTACATGTGGCCTCAAAATGGACATTTTTGGACAGCTGTGTCTACAGCTGGAGCCTGGGGGGGGAATCATGTGTCTTGGTGGTAGAACAGTGTAAAGAGCTTGTACCCATCTTTCTTTTGCATTGGGGGGTATGCGTGGCATTGAGTACACATTGATGTTCCATCACTTTTTTTATACCCTGCATGTAGTAAACTAAGTAAAGAAAGTTTAGACGGTTGTTTTAGCAAACAAAATCCAAATGTGTGCGACATTGCCAATGAACTTTCACTGCGTGTGCTGTGGTAGCATTTTTAGACTGAAATTTATTCTTAACGAATACTGTCGCTCTTCTGAGGTTTACAGATTGTTCTAGGCAAACACCCATAAGAGAGAGATATGCGCCCAGGCAGTTATGAAGAAAGTAAAAGAGAACAGAAGCACACTCCTCTCTGTACCAGCTTTTAGGTTCACCTCTTTCTTGGCCTTCCAGGTAGCTTTGGGAAGGGTCAGATTACTTGTTGCCATGTGCCAGTGTCTTTTCAAGGGTGGCGTAGCTCTGTCCACTTCATGAGTCAGTTCCTCCTCTTCCCTTGTCACGTTGCCTTCTAGGCATGAGAACAAGTGGGTGGGTGTCACCAGGGTACCTCCTTGGATTTTGTCAGGGAATTAATGGAAGTTGTCAGAATAAGATTCTTATGCATCCATCACCCTAAGCGGCTTTCACGTGTTAGTGTACATGCACCAATTTGTGTTCACTGTACACATACAAGATGATGTTTATATACATGGATGGCAAATGCATTTATTCAACACATGTGCATCATTTCACACAATCTAGACCCTGGATTTTTCAAGGTGTTGGTGCTTGAGTAGTTGGTGCTTGCGCAGTTCCGCAGGGCCTGCAAGATGGAGCTCTTCCGCCAGGCTTATGAGTAGGAGCTGCCACAGCCACTTCCACCACCGCTCTTTATAGAGAGAGACCACTGGGGTGGTGGAGTAACATCTTTCCATCACCCCAGTCTTCCCCCCCTGCTGTACAAGATGTTAGTTTATATGTGCATCCGCTGGATTGATTTTAAGTTGTTTTAAGTAATTTTAATTCTGTATTTTATACTATGTAATTGTATATTGAACGCACTTGGTGCCTAATGTGAGCCGCCCTGAGCCCGTTCGCGGGGAGGGCGGAGTATAAATGTAATAAATAAATAAATTAAATTAAATAAAATCAGGACGAATGCATGTTCATTTATCACAGAAGCATGTTGTACATTATATTGTACATACATTAGTATGTGCTCAGGTAAAACAGAGAATGTACTTGCATACAATGTAATATGTGAAAAGATAGTTTTTGTGGCGCCCCCTCCCTTATTTATTTGTTATCCATTCTACACATTACGCAGGAAAAAAATAGTAAACTGAGGTGGCAGAATTCTGGGTTGTTCTATTTTAGATTGGAAGCATGGCATCAGTTTTTTTTTTAAATGTCCCATCGCTCTTTTTTTATACCCTGCGTGTAGTGAAGCAAGTAAGAAAAGTTTAGATGGTTGTTCTAACAAACAAAATCCAAATGTGTGCAACATTGCCAATGAACTTTCACTACTTATGCTGTGGTAGCATTTTTAGACTGAAATTTATTGTCTCAGGTTGCTTCACAATATTTACTACCAATGAGGAGAGAAGAAATACATGGCAAGCTCTGTAATTAAGCTGCTAGGCTGACATTCTGGGCTCTTGGTAAGCCATTGTAATGTGCTGTTATTGAAACGGGGATCCAAAGTGTGCAGAGCTTTGCACATCTACAGTTCTATACTAAAGTGACTTGTTCTGCAAATAGAGATCTGTAGTTCTGTGCTACTCAGGGCTGATTGATGTGTGGGTGAAATTACATCTTGGCCAACTCTCATAACTACTTAAATGTTGTTCGGTCCACTTTTGTCATAACTGGTTTATTCTTGCTATGCAAATAAATGAGATAAGCTGTAGTAGAGGGAAAGGATTCTGGTAAAGTTGGCATTCAATGATTATTATTTATTTTACATGATGGTAATCTGGCAGACCTAAGCAGTGCTAGAATTATGTCTACTCATTGGCATACATTACTTAAGGGTTTTCAGCAAACCAAACTGATAAATTCCATTTTTTTTTGTAGGTTTTTTTCGCCAGAATATTAGATTTGCTAGTTTAATTTTGCAGTACCTTTACTCAGTTCTACTAGGGCTGATATATATTGGTTAGACAGCTTCTACCTTGCCAATGCACTCGCCAGGCCTGCTTGCTTCCTTCATCTTGAGCAAAACTTTCAAATTCAAAGATGTGTACATTACACAAAGGCCTAACCACCACCTATGTTCAATAATTCCTCTCCAAATACTCCATGGCCTATCTAGTGAAGTACCATAGCATGTGGAAGTCCTGGGCATAACTACAGGAAGGAGTAGGAGGTGCAGAGAGACGTGCCCACTTCTAATTTGGACTCAATTGGATCTATGGCTGCCAGGTCCCCGGGAAGGCTGAGGTTTCCCCGCTCAAAGGGTCCCCAATCTGCTGGTCCGCAAAAGGCCAGCAGGGGGAACCCCACCCTCAATGTGCCCAGTTCAGGCTGACATGCCCCAACATGATGACATCACTTCCGGGTGACGTCAATGCTCCGTGCACGTGTGAATGTCTTGGCCAGGGACCAACTCTCCCCTTCTTTTAACCATAAGTCACTTGGCAACCCTAATTGGATCCTGAGTAGGGATGGGCACGAACTGGAAAAATGGAGGTTTGTGCTTTGGGCTTTTTCATGAACCATGAATTTCCATGAACTTCTCCATTGCACAGTTCATGCTTCAGATGTTTGTGGGGCTCCCCACCCCGAAGTGAGTTCTGAAGGCATTTAAATGCCCTCAGAACCCACCACGGCCAACCTGAATGAGCTCCAAAGGCATTTAAGTGCCTTCAGATCCCACCTCTGGGTTGGGCCACCCAACCAAGCTCTGAGAGTGAGCTCCAAAGGCCTATAAAAGCCTTTGGGAGTTCACCCTTGGAGCTCAGTCAAGTCGTGTGGCCCAACTCGACTGAGCTCTCAGTGTGAGCTCTGAAGGCTTTTATAGGCCTTTGGGCCCACTTCCAGGTGGGGCCTGCCCATATAAAAGTCTTCAGAGCTCACACTCAGCGCTCAGTCGAGTCAGGCTCCCTGACTTAACTGAGCTCCGAGAGTGAGCTCCAAAGGCTTTTATAGGCCTTTGGGGCTCAGTTGGGCTGGCCTGACCCAGAGGTGGGCTCCGAAAGCATTAAAATGCCTTTGGAGCTCACTCGGCTAGGGGTGGTGGACTCAGACAGCATTTAAATGCCTTTGGGGCTCACTTCTGGTTGGCTGAATGCCTTTGGAGCTCACTCGGGTTGGCTGTGGTGGGCTGACAGCCATAACCATGATTCACTGAGTTCAGACACTCACTGTCCACATGATTCCCCATCCCCCAGTCTCATCCATGTATCAATTTAAGAACCTGTAGAGTTGGTACTGTTTGGAATGGATGCTGTGGGGCCAGGTGTACTTTAAGCATTGTTTGGTAAAAGGCAGCTTCTTTTATCTTGACTTACATATTGCTTATATGTCAGTGGTTTAGTATTCTGGCATCTGAATTTTTTCTCTTTCTCTCTTTTTCTGTGTTGTATCTCCTAGAAATTCCGGGTAGATATGCCAGGATCGAGCAGCACTTTTATCCCCACTCTGAACGCGATTACCACCAGCCAAGACCTGCAGTGGATGGTCCAGCCCACTGTGATCACCTCCATGCCAAGTGCCTACTCTCGTTCGCATCCCTACAGCCATGCTCTTCCTAATCTGTCTTCAGTTTCTGGTCACACAGCCCTTCAGAGACCTGGTGTTATCAAAACCATTGGGACCACAGTAGGCAGAAGGAGACGAGATGAACAGGTAATCACAGTGGTTCAAGCAAGTGCGTATCATCTGCTAGCTGGGTTGGCATGGGAATTGCTGGAATTGAAAGCAAATTTCCAGGACAATAACTTAATTCTCCTTGTATAGTTGGGGCTGACTTACGCTGTGATGTCGGTATTTTTCATGGTGATGTAGTATTTTAAGTTAATATGGAGGATGCTGGGTTGCATAGATATTTTTTTGTATAAGGCAAGTTATACAAACAATGGCTCACCAGTAGGGCATGTCTTGTGTTTCTGTATATCTCACGCACTTTCGTCCCACTCTTCCTCCAAGGTGCTCAGAGTAGCATACATGATCCCCCCTTCCTTATTTTATCTTCAAAGCAACTCTGAGCTAGATTAGGCAGGGAGAGTGACTGGCCCAAAGTTGCTCAGTGAGTTTCACAGCAGAATGGGAATTTGAACCCCCTTCTGCCTGTTCCAGCTGGGGTTGCCAGATCCCCCAGGCCACCAGCAGGGGATAGAATGGGGTTGCTTGTTTTTTGCTAGATCCAGGTTGGGAAATTTCTGGAGATTGGTGTGTGTGTGTGGAGCCTGGGGAAGACAGGGACCTCAGTGGAATATGATGCCATAGAGTCCACTCCAAAGCATCCATTTTCTCCAGGGGAACTGATCTCTGTGATGAGCTGTAATTCCAGGGGATCCCCAACCTCCACCTGGAGGCTGGCATCCCTAGATCCAGCACCCTTGCTACTGTGCCACTCTGGCTCATCTCATGTGAGGGCTCGCTTTGGACCCTGGCATTTCCAGTGAAGAGATTTTGGCTAGCAAGCTAGGAGAGACCGGGGATCTATAAAACTAAATTAGAGACTTGCTAGCAGTCAGGACTGATGGTACTGAACAATATCAGACTATAAAATACCATTCAGAGTCTGTGTGTAATGTTTGCTGTGTTTCCATACCACCGAAATGATTTTGCAAAAAGGGGCAACAAGGCAGCATTGTTTTTCAGTGGTTCCTGGAGTTCTTGGTCTAAAGGTAAATTAATTCCTAAAGCCAAAGTCTTGTATGCTGCCTTACTGAAGAATGCTGTCTAAAACTGAGCTGGTTTTAAAACAGTCATGTTTGTTTATCTAGCATATTTTTATACTGCTTTTTCCCCAATGGACCCAAAGTGGCTTACAAAATAATACTAATAAAACTTAAATCCATTTAAACAAACAAAACAGAGAGTAAACAAAAAAGCAATAAACAAAAGGCAAACCAAACATCCTGGGATGGGCTGGCCACAGGCTGCAAGTCGTGGGCCGAGAGCCCTTCCTCTCACACTCCCAGCCACGCCTAGGCTTTAAGCAGAGAGACAAACACTTCTTAGCCTAGACCTTACCTTCTGGTAGCCATCTTCCCATGTCCCCCTTCCCCCCCCCCCAATGTTTTCCTCCTGCCAGTCTTCCTACTTGGCCAGTCCTGAGGACACATGGCTAGGAACCGAAGAGCTGTTCTGAAATGTGCTAGTTGGAATTAAGCCGTATAATTTTTTCATGTTGTCTTGCTATTCCAGTTCCTTGTTCCTCAGTCTACTATCCTAGAACTCATTTTTCTTCCCTGGCACAGTTCCCTATGCTACCTAATTAGCTTATGGAACGTGAGATGGCATTTTGGAGTTGGCCCTTGATTTTCTGTAATGTTAGGGATATTTTGGAATTAAATCCTGTGTAGGTGGAGTGGAGTCCTGCTAATGTGTTTATAAAACTAGAGCTTTGTCAAGATCGTAGGCTGTGAGCTCTCCCTTATGGGTAGTCCCAAATTAGGCAAAAGTTCCAGACTGAAGTTTTGAGCTGCGTGGATGTTGACCATTTTCATTCCCTTGGCAGTAGCAGAGCAAAAGTCCAGTCTGTTTTAGCAGCTTTGTGGTCAATAGGGGTTGAATGTAGCTCCCAGGAAGCAATTGTATGCACACTTTGAAATTAGCACATGTTGGGAATGTTCAGCTTTCATTTTCACCACACCACACAAATTTGGTTGTGAGAATTGGCCTTTACACTCCAATTGTGACTGTGCCAAGGAGCATTTTTGCTCTGTTCTCTGTTAAAGTACATAGACATGCTGTCAATGGAAATGGCAGTTCCATTTTAGAGTCTCCCACCTTTGTAACACCTGGGTCAATCAACTTACCTGATGTCCTGGTGATAGTACATCCTCTCTCTTTCTCTGCCAGTAATACTGTGAAGTAGGGTGTAGAAATGCTCAGCAATGGAAGGACATAAAGTAGATTGAATTAATATGTATGTGGGGTAGTAGTAATTTGATGCAGAGTATCTGGCATTAGTGGCAGCTCAGTGTTTTTTTCCCCCTAATGTGTGGTTCCATCCTACAAAAATTTGCTTATTTTAGATAAATCAACTCAAACCAGAGGGGAAAGTGTCCTGGTCTGCCTGTTTCTTCTCCTTCTTCTCCATCTCCACTAATTGTGTGTCCTCTTCATATGTCTCCAGTTCCATCCAGTTAAGCTAGCCAGAATTCTGCTGTTTAAGATCAACTTGTTCTAAAAGTCATGCCTATCAAAGAACAGCAACAAAAAACAGAGGCTCCTCTGAGACAAGAACTTCAGGGCACCAGGAGCTTAGTTGGAGTTGCAACGGGAGTGTTAAAAAGTGCCCCATGTCATCATGAGTATCTTGTAGTAATCTCAGATGGGGATCTTGTTAGGTAAACCCTTTTAACTCCCAGCTTGTTTGACTGTACTTGCATGAAAAGTAATTTGCATGAGCATTGATAGCAGAGGAGCAAATGAGGCCTTGAAGCTGGAGCCCTGTTTTCAGAGAAGCCTGATTGGGCATTATGAGAGCTTTACCTGATTTGGAGTTAAGTGTTCCTGAAGCAGCCCTCATGGGGTGCTGCCCCTAAAGCTTTGAGTTCACAGATACTTCCAGGGCTGTTAACATTGCTAAAAATACTCTTATTGACAAAATGCAAATATGTAAGATCTCTATCTGTCTGGGTTTAAACCAGTTGTCCATGTTCCACCCTTATCTGTTTATTAGTGGATTTTGTTCTGCTTTCCTTGAAAGAGATCAGGGCAGCGTACATAGTTCTCCACTTTATCCTCACAAGAGCCCTGTGATGTAGGTTGGAAATTGTACTATTGTAATGATTCATCTCTACACTTTTCCTTACAAGACTGAAAAATCTAGGTGGTGAATGTGTACAGTAGCATAAAGTCCAACAGTATATGGTATGTTCGTATACACTGTGGAAGCGATTATTTTAGAGTAATTATGTTGAGGACAACTTTTGCCAACCCCATGCAATCCATGGGACTAATCTGAAATAACTGGCCAGTGGGGGAGACCCCACCCACAAATGTGGGGAGGGCCTCCACAAATGTGGGGGCACCCCCATCCAGACCAACTGGCTGGCAACCCTAACTCCGACGCTCCGACAGAGAGCCAGTTTGGTGTAGTGGTTAAGTGCGCGGACTCTAATCTGGGAGAACCGGGTTTGATTCCCCACTCCTCCACTTGCACCTGGCTGGATGGCCTTGGGCAAGCCGTAGCTCTGATAAGAGCTGTTCTTGAAAAAGAGCAGTTTCTGTCAAGAGTTCTCTCAGCCCCACCCACCTCACAGGGTGTCTGTTGTGGGGAGGGGAAGGGAAAGGAGTTAGTAAGCCGCTCTGAGACACCTTTGGGTAGTGAAGGGCGGGGTTTAAATCCAATCTCTTCTCTTCTTTTTCTTCTTAATGCCACAGGGCTATATTTAAATATCAACAGAGGTTACAATTGTAAATATTGCCATTCAACAGAAGTTGACAAGTCATATCTAGAACGCAGCTGAGAAAATAACAAAAAAAGTCATCATAGTCTGTCAATTGATCCAATGTAAAAATCTCCCTATTAGTCCTTCCTAATTTTTAGGTCAGGATTGGTCCATCATGTTAATCTAGCATGTGAAAATGGTTTAGATTGATATTGTTGTGGCATTACGTACCATAGTTCTCTAGCGGCAGATGTTGCAGGAGGAATGGGATCCACTCTAGCATAAAGTAGACCCTAATATGCATTCCACTTAGAGAGGAGCACCAGACAGGAAGCCTCCCAAACAGCCCAAGATGAAAAGTCTAACCATGAAGAACAATCCCAATAATTAGTACAAGTTAACAAATATGCCTGCTGATGTAAACTAAGATCAGGGAAACCAAATCTCCCTTCACTGAATGGGAGCTGCATCCCCTTTACAGAAATCCCAAGGGGTAAGGAACTCCACATAAATCTCCAAAATGAAGTATTTAGTTTCATGAATGGTATATGAAAAGTGTTTGCTTTATCAAGCAAACCAGAAACAAAATCTGACTTCAGCCACAGCTCACAAGAGCATTAAACACCCCCCTGCCCATTATAGATGCTTTAATTTCTTCGGCCTCTTTGGATTACTCCTCCACTCCAAGTCAGACAACGCTGGGCTCCTTCATGGCATTTATCTCCTGATAAAGGACGAGTGCATTATCATAAAACAGCAGGGGGGCGGATGGGGGGGCAAAATGGGAAGTAGATGTTAAATGAAAAAAAAAGTCATTATTTTGATTTGGCGGGGACTATTCCAATTGATGCAGCCTCTGAGGATCTTGGCTCCTGACTTTTGAGTTAACAAATGTTTCATGTGGGTAGAAACAGATATTTTGTTTCAAGAAAGAGAGCCTTGCAACATCTTGTTATGCTTTTGCCTCATAAACCACCCAGGTTGTGAAACAACTGGGAGAATCTGCTGTGTGTTTGGCCTTGATTGCAGATTCACTGTCTTCTTGCTCAATCTCCCTACAGTTTCTCCACTCCCTTGGCCCCCCCACCACCACCACCTTGCCGACTCTCTTCCTGTCTGGTTTAAACTCCTGGTGGGGGAGGGAGAGAAGAGAAGCAACTCTGTTGCCGATAGTAAACAAGCTAACCCATGCTCTCCTTCCAGAACAATAAACGTCTGTTAATTTGTATATTTAATTGTTAAAATAACTTAAAACTCCTCTTAAGACTTCTGTCGACA